GAGGAGAAAGAACTTCAGTTCTGTACCTTTCTAATACTGCTTGGGAATCTTACTACTTTGTAGGCAGTTGGGGAACCAAGGCGGTTTTAGAGAAGCCAGAATCGTTCTGGTAAGTGGGACAGAGGTTGTATTAGAAGCACATCTCCCCCACCCGTCCCTGAGACTGGTGCTGGAGACAGAAGCACATGTCTGATGCATAGTAACCAGAGAAATTGAGCATCACAAGGCTTTCAAGCCATGAATGATCAGCCCAGGTATTTCAGTGTAGTGTAGGAGTGAGAAGTCCAGACAAGATCCATCTAAACCTTCCCAGTGGACTTTGAGGCACATGGGAAGAAGTTCCAGGGTACCTAGATTAATTAATTGATCACGCATCCTTAATTAATCTAGGTGGTGGTCTAACAACAATGAAAAGAATGAAGTCCCTGTTAGGGCAAAAAGCCAAAGCAGTGAACACATGGTGCTCAGACTAAGGTTTCTCTCTGAGACAGAAGCTTCCAAGTTTCCTCTGTTGCTGAACGTAGGATGAAAAGTGATGTAAATGGTACTTCACACCCAGGAACCCCATTTGAGGAAAAGTGTCCCTAATCTAAGGGAAAGGGGAAGCAGGCAACATTAGAAGAAGCCAGACTCCAGGCCTCCACCCCTTTTCCTTAGGGCATGAAGGCCGAGGCCTGAGGTAAAAATGGAGTAATAGGTCTGAGTCACCAGTTCGTACACAAGGAGTGGGGTTTCAGAGTGGCACAACACTACTGGACAGCTCTAAAGCCAAGCCGGCCTGAAGTAACTTAGTTCACACCTTGGCAGAAACAGAGCAGCTGCAATGCCTCATTACTTTTCCTAAAGGTTAGGAAAGTGCGGAGTCCCACTGTGAAGTAAGGTGCTAATAACAGTAGGAAACGGACTTCAAGCCGTAGTCACAGGGTTGTGCCTTGTTCAAACACGATCTCTAACAACCTGGCTCAGGCTTGCTTGCAGGCCCTGACAGTAGCCAGACTGGAAAAACCCATGTCAAAAAGTAGCTACAATACAAAGATATATGAAGTACTATACAGAAGGGTATGCCTAAGAAAAACAATTGTAGAGAGCGATTTTTAAAAATCTAGTGCAGTGGAACCACCTCTAAACCACTCAGATGGCAGTGAAAGGCAACAGGAGGGCAGGGCCATGACCTGCACCGAACCCTAACTATAACTAGTCGCCACAGTTTAGATGACACAAAAAGCCTGACCCATAGTAGGCTGTGGCCCCTTCTAGGACACAATTCTCACGTCCTTAGATGAAGGCTTGCTGTGTCGTTTCTATTTGCTGTTAGGTGAGGCTGGAGGCCAGTGTGGTCTGGAAGAAGTTGAGTGGTCGGTAGGAACTGGGCAAGGGGAGGCAAAGAAGAGTGACAGGAATGAGCAAGTTCAACGAGCACACAGAGAGCACGGGCTGAGGCAGACAGTCAAGTGAGCACTCAGGAGTCCTGAATCACCGAAAGAATAGAGGTAAAAATGGAGTTCAATGGAGCTAACGCTCAAAGTTCCAGGAAGAACAGACAGCAGAAAAACACACAACCTTAAAATTAAGGAAAAGGCTTGTCCTAGCCTTCCTCCTCAAGTGGAAATCAATGATGAGTTTCTCTGAGACCATTCAGGCTGCCGCCTGTGATTGGTGACAAATGCCTAGAAGATCTGCTGTAAAGAAATTTGCCACAAAAACTTCTGGCCAAGATGGAGGCATAGGTGGACGCACTGTGCCTCCTTGCACAACCAAGATAGTGACAACAACAATTTAGAAACAGAGTAACAACCAGAACTGATAGAAAATTGATCTGAATGGAAGTCGGACAACCAAGAAGTTGAAACAGACCCGTTCAGCCAGACCGGTAGGAGGGGCGGAGTCGGGCAGCTGGGCGTGGGTCGCAGAGAGCGTTGGGACCGGGTGCAGAAGGCATCCGGGGCATGCAAGACCGCAGCAGGTGGACCCTGAGTACACAAGCGGCAGCTGGCAGACCCTGGCCGAGGGGTGGCGACCAGCAGACCCAGTGGGGCTGCGATTGTGAAGCAAGGCACTGCATGCAACCCAGGATCCCAGCGCTGGGAAATAGAGCCGAGGGACACTGATTGAAAACACCTGTGGGGGTTGAGGCGCTCGGAGAGATGGCCAGCCTCACAGGAGAGGTCCTTGGAAAGTCCCACGGCGTGTACAAGTCCACCCACATGGGAAATGGCACCAGAGGGGCCTAGTTTGCTCAGGGGAAGCAGCAGAAGGGACTGAGGTCTCACGTAGAACGGAGCAAGCACCATTGTTCCCTCTCAACCCCGCCCCCACATACAACATCATAATCCAGCGACTGGGTTGCCCAGCCCTGGTGAACACCTAAGGCTCCGCCCCTCATCCGTGTAACAAGTGCGATCAGACCGAAAAAGAAAGAGAGAGAGAGAGAGAGAAAGAGAGAGGGAGGGGGAGGGGGAGAGGGAGAGAGAGAGAGAGGGAGAGAGAGGGAGAGAGAGGGAGACAGAGGGAGAGAGAGGGAGAGAGAGGGAGAGAGAGGGAGAGAGAGGGAGAGAGAGGGAGAGGGAGGGAGATGGCTTAAACAGAAGACCAAATGAAAGCCCAGAACTGATTATTTTAAGCGACCGAGAGATAGGCAACCTATCAGATGCACAGTTCAAAACACTGGTGATCAGGAAGCTCACAGAATTGGTTGATTTTGGTCGCAAATTAGATGAAAAAAATGAAGGCTACACTAAGTAAAATGAAGGAAAATGCACAGGGAACCAATAGCGATGGGAAGAAAACTGAGACTCAAATCAATGGAGTGGACCACAAAGAAGAAAGAAATAACCAAACAGACAAGAATGAAGAAACAAGAATTCAAAAAAATGAGAGACTTAGGAACCTCCGGGGCATCCAACATCCGAATTATAGGGGTACCAGAAGGAGAAGAAGAAGAGCAACAAATTGAAAACTTATTTGAACAAATAACGAAGGAGAACTTCCCCAATCTGGCAAAGGAAATGGACTTCCAGGAAGTCCAGGAAGCTCAGAGAGTCCCAAAGAAGTTGGACCCAAGAAGGAACACACCATGGCACATCATAATTACATTAGCCAAGGTAAAAATGAAGGAGAGAATCCTAGAAGCAGCAAGAGATAAAAAGACAGTTAACTACAAAGGAGTTCCCATCAGACTGCCAGCTGATTTCTCAAAAGACACCTTACAGGCAAGAAGGGGCTGGAAAGTATTCCAAGTCATGAAAGGCAAGGACGTACATCTCAGATTGCTCTATCCAGCAAAGCTTTCATTTAGAATGGAAGGGCAGACAAAGTGCTTCTCAGATAAGGTCAAGTTAAAGGAGTTCATCATCACCAAGTCCTTATTTTATGAAATGTAAAAGGGGCTTATATAAGAAAAAGAAGATAGAAAACATGTATAGTAAAAGGAAAGCAAACTCACAATTATTAACCACACCTATAACAAAACCAAAAGAAACTAAGCAAACAACTAGAACAGGAACAGAACCACAGAAATGGAGATCACATGGAGGGTTAGCAACAGGGGAGTGGGAGGAGGAGGAGAGAGGGGGAAAAGGTATGGAGAGTAAGTAGCATAGATGGTAGGTAGAAAATAGACAGGGGGAGGGCAAGAATAGTATGGGAAATGTAGAAGCTAAAGAACTTATGACACATGGACATGAACTAAAGGGGGGGAATGTGGGTGGGAGAGGGTGTGCAGGGTGGAGGGGAGTGAAGGGGGAAATGGGACAACTGTAATAGCATAATCAATAAAATAAATTAAAAAAAAAAGAAATTTGCCTCAAAAGACAGGAAGAGCAGCAGCACCTCAACCCAACAGTATGGAGGTGTGTAAGAGGGAAAAACGACAACAATCACACCCACATTTTTAAAGGAGAGATGGCTTTCATAACACCTAGGGTGACATACACAGTGAAATTAGAAACCTCTTCTAAGGTACTCAGTTAAAATGGGGGTGAGAGAGGTTCAGGAGATACTACATTTAATTAAAAAACTTAAAAAAGAAATCAGTTGTCGACTTCATTCTCCTGATTCATGTTCTGAAAAATAAGTTTTACTAAAATCACTAAGCAACCTCAGTGTAAAGGCTTTATAGGCATGAACGGTTAAGGAAACATTTATGGTTAGGAAATTTATAAAACCACAGTTGGACTATTTGGTAGCAACACTAAATATATATACATTTCTCAGAAGGAAATATTAGCCCAAAATTATTAACAAAAGTGAGTCAAAAACTGACAAAGATACCTCACTTAACTGATGTAATGCTATTATTCTCATCTAAAATATAATATGTAGAATGTAATTTTGTATCATATTTATGCTGCATTTTTAAATACCAACATGATAAATTTAAATAAAATCTATCTACAACTAAGAGTACTAAATTTAACTTATCAAGTAAAAAATTTTTTTTAACATTAAGAATTAGCATGAAGTGGTGATGGTTGCACAGCATTCTGAATATAATTAATACTATTGAATTGTATCCTTAAAAATGGAAAATTTTATGTTACACAGTTTATCACAATAAAACATTTATGAATGGGGAGAAAAGAACAGTTAGTGTATTTTGCATTTATGCTCCCTTTTTATATATTCAGTTCAGTGTTTTTTGGTACTTAGATAACTCACATTTTTATAAGGCTAAAATACATCAGTTAAAACTCTTTACCTGAATTTCCATTTCAAAATTGATCATACAACAGAAAGTCTAAAGTAAAAAGTTTAAACAGCTGGCATAGTTCAAGTACTTGAGATATAACGCTAAAACCATTTTAAGATTAAACAGTCTCACAACTCTATCACCACCAGCCCTGGAAGTTTTTCTGCAGCTATCATACAATAAAAGTATTTTTGAAATCTAGGTTGTTTCTCAAGTCAAATTAAATAAAAAGCCCAATTTATCCATTAAACAGAGATAATTCAGGAGTTTAAAAGTCACTCAACATTTTAAAATAATCACAAATTCAACTAACCTTTTTCTTCAGTAATCTTTGTCTGAATTTATTAGTGATAAATCCCTTTGACCCAGCGAACCGTAAACGCTGATATTTGGCCTGAATGTACAAGCTCTTCTGCACAAGGTCTGATTTATGATGGGGCTGGGGTCTGCCACCTCTAAAGTTGCTCTGTAAAGGAGACAATAATGAAATGTTAACACTACAGCTTCCAAATCTACTAGCGTAAGAAATGGGCAAATGCCTGGTATTTAGAGGTGCCCTTGATTTCCAGGCTCTACAAATATTGAAAGGGAAGAGGTTAATAATACTAATAAAGTACATTTTCATCAAATTAGCTTCCTAGCTTATTTTATGTAATTATTTTTTATGTAATAAGTTTTAAATTTACATAAACCCATTTTAAAAACTAAGTTAAACAATTTTGAAATTCTTGAAATTTATCATGCTAAGAAATTTATCATACAACTTCCAAAACCTCAAATGAGCTAAAATTATCATTCTTATTCACAGTGAAATGTATCCAATCACAAATGGTGGGGAAGACATTATGTGTCAACATCTACTTAAGAATTAAAAACTCCCTTAACTTTATTCTTGTCAGTACCTTCATGTGAATCTTTCTTTAACATAAAAATTTCATTACAGCAAATATTTTCAAGAGTCATACTTAAAAAGCCTGCATACTGCAGGCATACTTCCTTGCCTGCATACTGCAGAGTATTACAACAGATGTAAAAGGACAATGAATACTTGTATTTCCCATGTGGGAAATGTACAAGTGGTGTATTATAACGGAGTAATTATAAAGTCTAAGTACATTCCTCTTTCTGCAGTTATTTAACAAAGGGTATGTCATACACAATGAAGCACATAGTTTGTAAAAAGTATTTATTCCACCTCTATTTTCCAATCGTTTTCTTAATGCTACAAAAAATTCAGGTAAAACAGAATTATAACGAGACTGTGATTTTGTTAAAATTATCTGCATGAACTAAATACATCAGAGCTAATTCTCAGATTTACAATGACCACTTTTACATACCTAATAAGATGATTACTAATTCTGGCTTTGAATTATTCCAATTAATATAAAAGTTAAATTCTAATGAAATAACTCCTTTTCTTAGGAAGGATTATTTTCTGTTCCTATTTTACTATGAAGAATAGTGGGCTTCTAAATAATCATACTACATTATACAGCTTAAGTGAATGGTCAAGAAAATTATTGCATATACTTTGGAAAACATTTATAATTAATGTAGAACTTTCCATGAAGGAGAAAGGATAGTAGGAAATAGATTTTATACAACATTTGCAGAAAAATACTACCATCAACTCTATCTGACTCATGAGCAGAACAACATGTAGGAAGCACTTTAATCTCCAAGTCCAGTGACACAGTCTCTAAGTCATGCACACATCACATTTTCCGTTAATGATTTTATGCTTCAAGAGATTAAGAGATCGTATAAAATATGTTGATATATTATATGGCCATAGCTATTTTTGAAAACCTAATGTCACACATATTTTAGGTACATAAACCACTGACTAAAAATATTACCTACAACATCTATTAATTGTGTTGCTCCTGGTGGAAAAAATATTTTGACATCTAAAATTTTGACTCTCAAGAAGCCAGGTATTAACAGATCGCTCAGCTGCCTTCCTCCTCTATGGTTCAGGAATAGTGTATATTACCTTTCTGCTCACACTAAGTTCCTACTAATGAGCCAACTCCCACTGGCCTAATTGCTCCTTTCACACAAGAAAAAACTTAGATCCTTTTCTTTTTTTGGAGGGGGAGGGGAAAAAGACCCTGTGGAATGAATAATATGAATAAAGTACCTATCATAAGCAGGAAAATTAGTCCAATGGATTTAAAAAGCACCTCATCTTCTGAGAGCAAGGAAAGAAAAATACAATACTTTGCACTACAATTCTTATCCCATACATTTGGGAGATGAGGTTATTTGGATACTCAAACATGTTGGTTGACTAAAACTATCCCTTACATCAGACACAGCTGTACAAATAGAATGCAATGGAACTGCCTTAACAAAGCTGCTGGACCAGAATCTTTCTCTGGTGATTGATCCAGAAGGCCTCTGAAGGCTGCACATCTATGGGCAGGGATTTTCAATCTGTGAATCCTGGAGAAGGCTCTACAGTTATGCACTTACATCTTAGAGGTGGAGGGATGGACTTAGAAGGATTGTTTGGGGCCTTGCCTGTCTCCTGACCTGAAACCACTCTATCTGTATCTGTTTTATGTATTAGTATTTCCATGTAATATTTGTAAAAGGGTTCCACTGTTTAAAAAATAATTGAAAAATCAAGTCCTGAGGAAAGGGGTCATCATTAAATTGGTTCAAGTTGACTATAAATGCCCAGAAATGATAGTTTATAGCTATTATTTGAAATGTTACAAAACAGCTTTTAATTCACTACTACTTAGAACATTATGTTCAAAGGATAAGCCAAAAGCTAGAATTAAATGGAAAGTAACATTCAATAATTTAAAAGACCTTCTAAAGTCTCACGATGGTTTCTCTCAACTCGAAATAGTTTGTGAGTGATGTCTTTTCTCTGCATAGTATAATTATGCATGAAAAAATATTAGCATGGGTTAATGAACTTTAAAGTTCACTTTTAGAACTTCATTTGACCACTAAAAAACACCCATTTGACATGTACAGGATTAAGAACACAAAGACGTAGTTTAGCAATAGGAACATGCACACACATCTCCCTTCACATAACCCAAGCTGGTCTGTGAGGGACTAGTTTAATTGGTGAATGTGAGAAGTGTTAAAAAAAAATACTCCAGCATAACACAATGGGTCATTTTTGAGAATGAACTAAAAATGTGGCATTTATTCAGGTATCCAGAAGAGAAACAAACCCATTTTATCAGAAGCTGCTGAAGAGTTCCCACTGTGTAAGGAAAAGACAAATTCTCAACACTGCAGGAGGCAGGTCTTACTGACTCAGATAAACGATGGGCAGAGAGATAGATGCTCCTGCCATGACTAGGGAACAATCAGAAGTCAGGGGTAAAGATGGTAACTACAAAGAACCCGAATGCTTTGATGGGAACAGAAAAAATGGGGGCCCATTCTGAAAGATGGCTTCTTTTTTCCAAAATAATAGTCTTCTAACCTTCTCTTTATTCCACTTGGAGTTTATACTTCTCACAAATCTTCTTTCATACCTTTTTACCTCTCTCCTCAGTTAAAAAAAAAAGTCACATAAAACTCTTTTCATAGTCATCATCTTGAATTTATACTAAGTCTATAAATTTGAGTAACTGCGTGAAGGTACATGTAATGAGATGAGACTTTGGGGGACCTTGGGAGGGAGAAGGTGTATTTTGCATGCGAAGGGATGGTTGCGAATCACTGCAGACCAGTGGGACCAGGTCCCCCACCATCCCCACCTGCCGGTGCCCAGGACCCTATGTCATCATCTTCCTTTGAGCGTGGGCTACACCTAGTGACTTGCTTCTTACAAACAGAGTATGGGAGAAGTGACGGAATGTCACTTCTGAGATTTGGTTACAAATACACCCTGGCTTCTATCTTTCTATCTGGTACTTGTTGCTGTTATGGAAGCCAGCTGCCATCTGTCAACCGGCCCCTGAAAATGCAAATCTTTAAAAACAAAAAAGTAGATTAGTGGTTAGTGGGCATGAAGGCTCTTATTGGGGTCACGAACATGTTCCAAAACTGGATTATGGTAATAGTTATACATCTTGGTAAATTTACAAAAAAAAATCATTAAAGTATACCCCTGAAACAGGTGAGTTTCATGGTATGTAAATTATACCTTAATAAAATTGTTCTTATGTAAAAAAAAGCTAGTAGTATAATAGATGCAATAAAATCCTGCTAAATCAGAGGTAGACATTTCTTCTGTCACAATAACTATATGCCTCAACAGAATGTTAATGTTGAACAAAAGAATTACAATCCATACTTACTGAATAGTTACAAACATTATGAAAAATACTGGTGATCCCTGTACATGTAGAAATATGTGAGAATAAAATGTATAAAAATGAAAAAATTTGGACCTGCAATCTTACCATGTAAGTTCCCTGAATAAATTTTGTAGAATTTGACTTTTTAACCCACTGAGGGTTTTGAGGTCTACCAGCAGGAGTCAAAAAAGGGAAAGGCTGATCATTCCTAATAAAATGAGAGAGAAAGAGAGAGAGAAAAAAAATGAGAATCTTTTATTAGTTTACACTTACCCAACAAATAAACAAGAGAAATCAAATTACCCCCCTCAGAGACAATTAAAGCAGTACAACAGTAAAAATAACCTCAATGACCCATCACTACTAGAATTAAATCAAATCAAAGTTACCAGGGTTAAAATCTTCATTTTTCAACAAACATTACTGAGCTAAGTTGGAAGCTAACCAACTTAGCTCCACAGTGGACCAACACGTCACCGCCCCGGCCCTGCTTCAGTCCCTCCCACAGGCCCCTCACTGACTTGGAGATGAAATCCACTCTTCATCATGACCCTCCAAGGCCCTTCTTGCTCAGCTCCTTGTTGCCTTGCCCGGCTGCTTCATTCCAGTCTCCCCAGCATGCACACTGAGCTTCAGGAACATTTAGCTGTGTGTGGCCCCTGGCGCACACCACAGCCTCTCCTGCTCCTACACGCTGGCATATGCACTTCCTGCTGGTGCAATTTCCTTCTAACTCAGAGCAACTTCAAGAGGTAGCTCCATGTGTACCTGTTCCAGGAAGGCTTTCCCAGATCCCTGCGAGGTGCCCTGGGTACCCGCCCCCACCGCCTGACTAAGTGCACATGTAGCGTTCGAGGTCTCCACACGCACCACTTGTGCTTGTAATACTGGGGCACCTGTATGATTCACCCAGCAAGCTGTGACTCCTTCAGAGGAGGCTCTGTGGATGGCTTGTTTTGTGGCCCCAGCTCTGACCCCAGTACGTGATATGAAACAGCCAGCCATTCAGGGTTTTTTGAAGTGTTAAAAAAATACCCTAGGTTTTACCAAAATGTTCATGACAATGATAGTAAGTCAAAAGAGTAGGGTGCAAAACCATATCATAAGGATAATTTCAGTTCTTTAAAATATTCACATATATGTCCATAAAAATAGTTAAAAATAGGAAATGTACTATATAATAACAGTGGTCATCTCTGACTGGTTAAATTAAGAATGCCTCATATTTTTTGTTTTTAAACTTTGTTAAATTTTTTTTTCAGATATTGACTATTAGCACGCATGGCTACTTCTATAAACAAAAGAATGGACTTTAAAAGATTTTCTTTGCAAAGCATATATCTAATAAAATAGTATCCAGAATTATAAAGAACTCTTACACCTCGATCATAAAAAGACAATAATCCAACTTAAAAATGGACAGAGGATTTCAATAGATACTTTCCAAAGGAGACACACAAACACCACGTGAAACGATGCTCAACACCATTAGTCACTGGAGAAACACAAACCAAATGTCAATGAAAATACTACAGTGTGCCCACTAGGATGGCAATAATCAAACAGATGACAACACCAATGTTCGCAGCAGCCAAAGGGTGGAAAGCCAAATGCTCATCAACAGAAGACTGTATAAACAAAAGGGGAATGTCCACACAATGGAATAGTACTCAGCTTTTAAAGGAATGAAGTTTTAAAAAAGAATAGAATTCTGACATATGACACAACATGGATAAAAACATTATACTCAGTGCAGTAGACCACACACAAAAGGATGATTATGGTAAGGTTCTACATATGTATGAGGTAACTCCAACAGGCAAATTCATAGAGACGGAAAGAAAAGAGGTTATCAGGGACTGTCAGCAGAAGATGGGGTGTTACAGTTTAGGTGGTACAGAGTTTCTGTTTAAGAAGATGAAAAACTTGTGTAAGTGGACAGTGGTGATGGTTGCAAAACATTATGAACGTACTTAATGTCAATTAATTGTACATGTAAAAATATTAAAATGGTAAAACTTCTGATATTCCTATTTTGCCACACTAATGTTTTTTCACTCTTTGAGATTTGATTTTTGACCAGGCAAATGAGTGTCCGAATTAAAGAATGTATTTCCCAGCTTCGCTGCAGCCAGACATGGCCATGAGACTAAATCTTGACTAGTGTTGCTAAGGCATCGTGTGTAAATTCTAGGAAGTCTTTAAAGAAAAGGCTACAATGGGCACGTGATGGCTAGGGCACAAATGCTCATCTTGGACCATGAGGCAAATGCCATGCACAAGGGAGATCTAAGGAGCCTGGTTCCCTGATGGGTCTACCCTACCATGCTCTGACTTCCTGCCTCTAATTTTTTTTTACATGAGAAAGAAATAATTTTTCCTGGAGCTCTTACAGTTCATATTCCACCCAGCAAGCAGACCAATCCTTTTAAAATTTGATGAGATTATGTTTCTTCTCAGGTTAGGACCCAAAATGTTTTCTAACCTCACTCAGAGTAAATTACAAAGTTTTCATGCTGTTCAAAGCACTTCATGATTTGATCTCATCTAACTCTCTCCTTTTTCGCTGTGTTACAACCCCACTGGCCCTTTTCTATTCCTTAAACAAGAGCAAGCGAGACCCTGCTTCAAGGTCTTTGCATTTACTATTCCCTGTCGTGAAATACTATCCCCTCCAAACAACTCTACGGCTAACTCTCTCATGTAATTCACATCCCTGTTCAATTTTTGGAAAAACCGTAAGTGCATTCTGTAACTATTGTAAATAAAATCACACCACACTACCCTGACCAGTGTGGCTCAGATGATTGGGTGTCATTCTGTAAAGTGAAAGGCCGCTGGTTTGATTCCCAGTCAGGGCTCATGCCTGGGTGGAGGGTTTGGTCCTCGGTTGGAGCGCATATGAGAGGCGACTAATCCATGTTTCTCACATTGATGTTTCTCTCCTTCTCTTTCTCCCTCCCTTCCTCTCTCTCTAAAAATAAATAAAATCTTTCTTTTAAAATCACACCACACTTACCAGTCTATTAAGGTCATTCTAGTTCAGTATAGATTATAGATTATTATAATAGCAAAAATAAAAACTGATGTTATGTTTTCCATAACCCACCGAGTTAAAAAAGAAAATCTTGGGAGTTTCGTGTTCTTTTAAAGTCTACTTTAATGTCAGTCTACTGACATGATTTTGAAGCTGCTTTTTCACATACACACACCATGCCTATATACCACAATATATCAATAGCACTGCAGGGAACTTCATAATGCTTATTGCAAAAGGGAGAAATAGTGCGCCAGAAGAAGACATGGAGACATCAGGGTAAGAGGTTGGTCCGAACTGGGAGAAAATTGAGAACAGAGTCTGGAGACTAGATAGAATGTCCTAGTGTTAGGTTTGCTTGAGAAAGACTACCTAAGGTACCAGGGAATAAATAGTGATCCAGCTCTAAATGCATTAAAATTCCAGTACCCTCTGTCCTATCTACTCTTTTGGAAAGACGACTTCATCCATTCAACAGCTATGAACTGAGCTCAAGGCAGTGGGGATACAATCAGGAACAAACCCAGACACAGAGCCTGTATACAACTTTTCGAGGGGACAGAAATCACACAGGTGGGAAATCGCTGTATCCTGTGATTCATGATTTCACCATATTCATTTCTTCTGAATTTCTATGAAAATCTACACAATGACTTAACCAAAAAGGCTTATGCAAAAATATTAATGAGGTCAATTTTGATAACCGGGTTTCTAAGATAAAAGAATAGAATAAAATGATTTTCTTATTTTAACAAGGAAATTAAATTAGAATAAAGTGAGAGATTAAAGGTTCTATATAGTCCTTTTTTTAAAAGATGAACAATAATAAATGCTGGTGAAGCTGTGAAGAAACTGGAACCCCCTACCACCATACATGGCGAACACACACACACACACATACACACACACACACTGTATGTGTGAAAACGAACAATGCTATAGCCATTGTGGAAAACAGCCTGGCAGCTCACCACAAAGTTAAACATAGCTATCATATGACCCAGCAATTCCAATCCTAAGTGCATCCAGAAAAGAAACGAAAACGTATGTCCACAAAAAACTTGCACACAAATGTTCACAGCACTGGTATTCACAATAGCCCAACAGTGGAAACAACTTAAATATTCGACAACTGGTGAATGGATAAACAGAATGTGGTATATCCATACAATGGAATAGGATCCAGCCATAAAAGGAATACTCATGCTACACGGAGGAATGCTAAAAACATTACATTACAAGAAAGAAGTCAGTCACAAAATTCCACATATTATATAACCACGACTATATGAAATGTCAAGAATACTCAAATCCAGACAGACAGAAAGTAAAAAGTAGATTAGTGGCTGCCAGTGGCAGGGTGGAGAGAGTTACAGGGAGTAACAACTAATGGGTACAGGGTTTCTTTTGGGGGTGAAGGAGATGTTTTGGAATTAGTGATCACAGTTGTACAACTGTGACTATACTAAAAACTACTGAATTGTTCACTTTCAAAAGGTTAGTTTTATGGTAAGTAAAACCTCAATTTAACAAAATCTTCATGGTTCCACTATACCACACCTGCTCCTCAGCACAAATAAAACAGTCCGACAGACCCAGCAAAAGACACCTCGCAGGAAGACATCTCGGCATGCTGCAACACCATCCTCAAAGCTAACACTAATAGGTAACACTGACCAGCTGCTCTGTACCTTACACGCATCACTTCCCTTAATCTTCACCACTGTGAGGTAAGTATAATTTTTATCTCTTCTCTTCAGCTGAGGAAACAGAGATTAAGTATATTGTCCAATGGCAGTCACATAGCTAGGTGTCTACACAGCCAGCCAGGCATTGAATTCAGGTGTAACTCCAGTGCTCGAGCTCTTAATCACCTCAGAGGGTGAAGATACACTCTGAAGCATTACACAGTCTTCATAATATGTTCATTATCTTAAATCTGTTTTGAAAAATCCTCTTTCTTGGTACACTGAGTCTCTGCAGCTTACTCATTCAAAGACAAGCATGAGAGAGCCTGTGTCGTGAAATAGTAGCCGTGCCATGTCATATTAAGAAACTGGAGACTTCCACCCGTCAAGGAACAAGATTTTAACCATTTGACTTTCAACTGTTTTATACGTCTCAACACAGTTTTGCTATTTTTAATTTGTCCCAAACTTATTGTCAGAATCAGGTCCAGTTTTAAAAGCAAGCTCTGTGTATTTTGACTAGGATCTTGTGAGCCACAGACTTGACTTAAAAGTCTAGTCAAATATCAGTAATTTGACATTGAGGACTATGGAAAGGGAATTAGCATTGGCCCTTCCTATTCACACACTCCCACTTTCTGGGAGATGCAAACAGCATAAGGACTGTTGGAGAAAACTGGAAATTTTGTCCCATTCAAATATACCTCACAGTCATTTGGGGACCCACAGTTGCCTTGGGTTTCACATACTTTTCAGAACTAAAGATAAAATGTAGCCAAAGAGAGACTGCGCAAAGCCCCTAAAGAACAAGAATCTACTGATGATCCATATGCCATGCGTGGCATTAAGTGCTTTGCACGTGCCAGTTTACTATTCTAACCTCTCCGTCACAAATTGGTTATTCTCATCTTGAGAGAGGAAAAGACCCCAGAAACTAAGCAAGTCTGCCCAAGAGCTTGTCAACTGGCAGAGACAGGATTCAAACTCGGGCTTCCTCTGCACTTTCTAATACGCCTGCCTCTGTTTTATGGTTGGACATTCACGAATAGTTCTGAAAGAGAATTGCACTGACTTCAACAAATTTTGTAATATTTGAAGAATACCGAAATTGAAAGGGCAGAGTCTGTCAGAGTTTGAATCGGCTTGAGCCAAAGAATCCATAAACTTGCTGGTCTTGGCTCTTGCTAATATTAAAAACGCTGTTACACTCCTTTCTAGAATTATCAAGACCTCAAATACTCACCTACTCCCCACAATTTTTGTTGTTTAAATCAAACAGCATATGATGATCACTGAATAACTGAAACATTTTAAAAGACTTTACTTAAACATATAATAGATTTGAAGGATTAAGTCCCTATGCTAGAAGGAAAATTGTCACACAAAAAAATGGAAAAATACGCTGATACCAAAAGCTCCCTGATAACAGGATGTTTTTCATCTACTGATTACCTCTCTGTAGCACTATCTATGTGAAAAATGTGCTCATCTTCATTCTGTAATCGTTCTTTTCTCCTTCTTTCAATGTCATGTCGTAGATCATTTGGATCTATTACTTTGACCAGAGTCTGAGGAATTTTGACAGAAGACAAACCATTCACATTACTGTTAGTTGCACAAAGACCATATCTAATAAGAACCTTAAGTAAAAGTCCTAAATACAAGGATGAGTACAAGTTATTTTGTACTCATCCTGCTAATTGTAGTGTAAACTAATAAAAATATTTTGAGATACAATTGACAATACAGAGTTAGACAAGTTTATCACATTGAATCAGGAATCCTGTTTCTGGGACTCCAGCTCAAAGAAAAGGTTATCTACTCAAATATCTTCAAAGTGTTATATTTAAAATAACAGCAACAACAAAACAACAAAAGCAACTTACATATATTGTAAAAAAATTAAAGGGGATGCGAAGAATGATTATGTGATAAATTTAAGTCAAAGCAATAATGTACAAGCATTTAAACTATGCTAATATAGACTTTGTGGGAAGTACACATGGAAAAACACATTGGAAAAAGTTAATTAAAATTTAAAGAGCATCAATCATAAAAGGACATGGGGAATTCAGAGACTTATATAAAAGTAAAAGTTATTATGGTTTAAGTAAAAAGAAAAAAGCATCTAAAACTTTCTGGGCTAGGGTAGCAACTATGTTAAAATGCCAGATGCAGGACTGCAAGAAAAGATGATCAAACTATATTTTGTGTTAAGCGGTTGGATTAGAGGCTTTTTTTAACCTTTAATTTTTAAAAACCCTCAAATTTTCTTTAAGTTGATTACAATATCAATACTTTGATGAGTAGAAATTTCCTGAAAATATAATTTATTCAATAAACTATCCTATCTTCCTAAGTTCTATAAAATTGTAACCATTTACAAGTAAAAAAAATTATTTATATGTTCTATAAGAAATGCGTTAAAATCTCTCCTTTATAAAAACTCTTCACTCAATGAATACATTAGCTGATTTTTTAGAACTTAATAAACTTTTTTAAAAAACAGAAGCCAGTGTTCTTCCCCCCTGGCTAGGTAAGATGGTTTATTTAATTAGCCAAGGAATAGGTAGGGGTTAGGGGGAGGTACTGGGCAGGAACCACCACACACAACACGTGACAATAAAAATTTCAGTATTAGTTTCATTATATTGCTAGTTCATATTCCATAGACTCTGAAGGGCAATATCAAATAAAAGTAAGTTCCTTTGTATTTATTTATTCCACATACGATTTAAAAATGCATTCCATACAACTGCTTTGGAAAAAGTAGGTATCAAATATACTTTCTGAAAGTTTTACAGTGTGAAGTTTTGGAATAAATATTAAATGCTATAATTTTGTGTCAATTTTACAAAGCTGTTGCCCTTAGAGACTGTTGCTCTTAGGGAATATTTTTTTGTCTTTTGTCAGCTTTCTCTCTGCAACGTGGCCAATAACCAGAATCCCTTGGAGAGCTTTGTAAATTTCAGATTCCTGGGTTTCAATCTTTCCTCATCTACTTTTAACTCCCTTTTTTTATTCCCAATCACCAGTTCCCTTTCCCATTAGTACACCAATAATAACATAATCTGTCATCAAAACTTACTATTCACTTACCTGTTCCGATTCACATACCATAGCGTGTTTATTTGGAAGCTCAGCCAAAGGCATATTTACTCTCCTAAAATAATAAAGGCATATTACAATTACATAATTATGTTATACACTGATAGCTTAATTCCATTACTACAGAATGGAATTTGAAGTAGAGCTGGTATGTCTTGGTGGAAATAAGAGAAACTTGCCACCAGGTGGTTTTTCATCTATATGACAGTTTTCCAAGACATACACATCCTCTGAACAACATCACAGTGACACCTTGGTAGTTCTCAAATCACTAGTCCATGTAATCTTAAACTTTGCTCCGGTGATCTCCTGCATTCTAACATTGATTCAACTCAGCTCACAAGGCAGGGTATGCCACCTGCTCAGACAGGTGCCAGTAGCAGAAGACATGTGTTTCCACCTGGCTGTTCTCAGAACAGCCATTTCTGACCATGCGAGGCAACCCATGAGTTCCGTGGCTTGACAACTATCTTTCATTCTTCCAGTGATAACTTCAGTAGACAATTACTATAGACACAGCAGAACCAAAGTTAGGTAGGAAAATATTTTCAAAGTCCCACAAATTTAGACAATACTCATTGATGACTTCAATATAACCTATTCCATCACAGTGCACCGGCCTGGTACCTGCTGGGGTTTGTCCTGTTTTTAAGCAGGAAGTCCAGTCTTAGAATCTACAGGAAGCCCAGGAGGCAGCACCTTCCCACACCTCCCCTGAGGCTTATTCCCAGGAAATAACTGAGTATACAATAATCATTACCTTGGATTTCCTGAATCTGGAGTCCATTTATTTTCATTTCCATCTATAGCTTGTTGATCTTTTAATTTTGAGAAACGCTCATGTAGAGTGATGGGAGGTGATGGAAAATAATTAACTGGAAAAAAGAAAGTTTTACATCAGTGTAAAACTGATTCCACTTAAAAGATTACATGTAAGTATAGAAAGAAGAGATTATTAAAAAACATCCAACCTCTCTTTCTCTTGAAGATAAGTGGGACCTAAACTAACTCCACAGATTAATTCAGTGTTCCCATGCTTTTTCAAACCTGTGTAATAGTGAAACACCTGATTTATGAAACCAAGAATTCCGTTCCTACTTGACAGTCCAGCATACTTGTTGGGGGAAACACAGCAGCTTTCTCAAAGTGAGAACGGTTCTTCTCCAAGACAAGACCTTACTATATCTGGGAAGAAAAGATGGTCCAGAGCTCTACTTCACCTAGAGTAAAAAATAACCCCCCAAACAACCCCAAAACATCAAAATCATTCTGAACAAATGTTAAAAGTCATGTTTACGTATCACAGAAGGCCTCTTAATGCCATTTAACATTAAATCAAGTTCATGAAGACATTTTTGAAATCAAGCTATGCTATGGGCTTTTAACAGGATAGAGAGAAAGATAGTAACTCTTGACTCATTAGAATGCTACTTAAGCAATCTTTTCCCCTAACTTACTGCTATTGTCCTGAGACATTTTCCTGGACTTTTCTTGCAATACTAGTTCCCTTTCTACCGAGAATCACACGTCCTTTGGGTAAAAGGGGCTGAACTGAAATGGCGAATTGTTTCAGACAAACCACATGCTTTAAAGTAAATTTATGCCTTAGTGTGAGGAAGGCAGAGAAAATAATTCACTTTCAAAGTATTTTAAGAAGGTAAAGAAAGATTAATGCGATCATCTAGCAAAAACCATAAAATAAAAATTTTGGAATTCTTGAAGTTGCTTAGTTTGTAATACTCACAATTGCTTTATTTACACAGCATCATTGAGGAAAGTTGTTCTACATGACTGAAATTTGCAATTAATGGACATTGGCCATCAGTAAAAACAAAACAAAACAACTCAATGCAAATTTTCCAAGTATTTATTATACAACTTCCTAGTGTCATAAGGTATGCCAAGTCAAACTGGAATCTTATTGATTGCTTAGCATCACCCTTCTGGCTTAAATTCCCATAATTCTCCCAAGGGCATGAAGAATATCACCAGAGGACCTAGACTTTGAGATGTCTTGAGTTTCATATCTGGTTTTTGTTGCTTCCTTCTTCCTGTTCTGTTATCAGTTATTGATTCTTGCCACGCTCAGTACACTTGTCTTTTGTAGCAGTCAATCTCTCCTTTATATAACTTCTGATTTCCAATCTACTGTGAGTTGAAGCACCAGGTTATTGGAACTACATATAAAGAACAACTGGGTCTAGGAACCATGGTTCCCTTGAGCATCTAGTACTCTGAAAATAATAATTAAAACACCCAACTAGGCTTGAATTAGTATCTTCTACTCTCTTCAACAGATTTTCTAATTAATGATCTACTTTATAATGAAATATTAATTACTATTACAATTCACAGATATTTTCCTGTATCTCGTGAAAAGTCAGTACATTGTTTTTGTCTTATCCCTGATATATGTGCAAAATATACTAACCTTTAACTTGATGGATGACAGTTATGATTTCCTGAGCCAATTCTTCTTTACTTTTGTTTTCAGTATTCTCAGTTGAGCCAAGATGTTCAAGCACTGGTTCCGAGTCCTCACTTTTCTTGCTAACAGCAGACAAATCAGCTGACATCTCACTCTCTGTCTTGATAGAAGCGACCCTAGAATAATTTGAAGATGCTCAGTTAAATCTGAAATTATTTTACTGAGAAAAACTTATTAAAATTAATATAGCTATAAAACTAAAATGATGCTTATCTTCTTATAATTAAGGCACTAAATTGTATGCCATAAAACATGTATGAGTAGAAGAAAATAGCTATACATACATGGTTTTGAGTTCTTTTCAAATCAGAGATCATTAAATATTTGCCACTTTAATAAGATCCTCAAAATCCTAAGTTAAACAATTTTTACTTCAAAAAATACAGCAAGGCATTAAATACACTCCATATGTAAACACAATCAATTAGATTATTTTCTACTTCCAAATGTCCGTAAAATTGTAAATGCAGCAAGCTTATTGTATCTTAAAATACTACCACCCTTTAAAAGCTGGTATCAAACATAGTAACTTCTCTGACTTCATAGAAATCCTTATAACTCTGAATCAGTAGGGAGAAGCTTAGAATTGTACTTTGAAATCAAATTCTGTTGACACTAATTTAGTCACTTAGAAAGTTTCACCAAACTCTCAGAAAACAGTCTTAGTTATTAGCAAAGTTATGATCATTATAACTAATTATAGTGTTTACCCTAAACGTATCCTTAAAGAAATGCTACCACATTTAGTATATAAACCCAACTATCTTACCCCTTCAATGCTTTCTGAATCTTTATAACTTCCATGAAGAGCTCTTCTCACCTTTAGGGACCACTATAAAGCCACTATTATGACATACAGCTAGTAATTATTGAGGGCTTACCATATGTCAAACACAGAAGCTTAGAGGTTACAAACATTATCTTGTTTAATCTTTAAAGAGCCCTACAGGCTAAGTGTAGGGCTCTTTAAAGATTGCCCTACACTTATGAATGACACTGAGACAATGGATGTCCTAACTGTCTTGCTTTACATCCCACAGGTCAAGCGTTCATATGAACATAATCCTTTCAAGTGCCATAATGGGAAACCACATCTTAGTCCAAGAATGCTACTCTTGTTTAAAATTGCCTTCAATTCTTTGTCTGAGGGCAGTTGATTCATCAGCAGAAAATGTCTCATTATTTTATATTTATACCTCATTTTGAACCCAAAATGGCACTAACCAGCTTATACCCATCTTACTCCTCCACACTTAACTCTAAATAGCTTTTGGCTCTTGCCAAAAATCAAGTCACTGTCCAAAGAATTGAGATTTACAACTGCTAGAGTTCTTCATGAGTACGTCATAGGTTCTGAAGATACGTCCACGAGAGAAACCAGAAATGTGTTTTAAATAACAGCAGCACAGCTCCCGCTGTCTTGGTTGGAGGCTTCTCTATCAGTAAACCTTTCCTTACTCAAAAAAATGAATAAAACAAATAAATAAATAAATGATTCATTAATAAATAACAGTAACACCACTGGGAAAAAAAAAATGATACTTCTTCATATAACAAAACCCAATCAGATGGATACATTTCGGGGTGTGGTTATATGAATGCACAGATTTACTTATTTATTTAAGTCACGTAATAGCTATATATCCAAAACGACTCCAGGGTTATGAGGGGCTTACAGACATTCCTTTAGTTGAAAACTTCAATAACTCCTCTAACAAGATGGTTTTAAGCGCCTGTTTTTAACCTATCAGAGGAAAGGCTTCCATCTGACTTGCTGTGCTCCCTGCTCTCACACTGGTGCTGTGGAGACGACTCCCTGCCAAGGCAGAAACATGGAAAAGTGATTATGCAGCAAGTTGATGCCACTGCTGTGGGTTCCTTGGTTCATTAGAAGACTTTCATGAGAAAGCCCACTCCCCTTCTTTCCTCCTAATTTGCTTCAAGCTTCCCATTGTGAGTCTGATAACTAGCTAAGAGACATTTAGTGGTAAAAATCTAGAAGCTAGATTGGCCCTGTTAACAACCTCCACTAACAAAACACTACAAATGCGCTCTCTGCTTAAAGGGGTTTAATGGTACAGAAAGCCTGCCATACCCCAAAAAACCATAGCTTTAAAAACATTTTATAAGAGAAAAATAAGATTTTGTAAGTTGTATTTTATAGTTTAAATACAACTATAAAAATGATCCATCCATAGGAAGAAAACAATTGATAATAGTTTTTATTATAGCTTCAGTTTCTCCCAAGAGGAAGCAAGCTGATAGAGGATTTCAGTAATTAATAACTTGTCACTTATTATTATATCCCCACTTGATGCCCAACCCTCAATCCATAGGAGTAATATGGTATACACTGAAGGTGTATTTCTTCAATTCCTTAAATTTTAGTGTTTAAACTTGCTATCAGTTAAAAAATTTATCCTAGGGTTACCTCACTGCCATGAAAAGAGTATAATCTAAAATTTTAGTTTTTTTAAACAATGTTTATTCATTGAGAGAGAGAGAGAGGGTAACATAGATGTGTTATCCCACTTATTTATTCATTCATTGGTTTATTCCTGTATGTGCCCTGACTGGGGATCAAACCCGTTAACCTTGGCATATGGGGATGACACTCCAACCAAATGAGCTACTTGGCCAGGGCCTAAAATTTTAGTTTTTTAAAAACAATTATACTTTTGCCCTTACTGGTGTAGCTCAGTGTGTTGGGCATTGTCCTGCAAAATGAAAGGTCACTGGCTTAATTCTTGGTCAGGGCACAGGCCTGGGTTGCAGGTTTGGTCCTTGAATGGGGCACGTGCAACCAATGGATGTTTCTCTTCTCTTCTGTCCCTCCCTTCCCCTCTCTCGAAAAATAAATAATAAATAAATAAAATCTTTTTTAAAAATCATACTTTTGCTATATGACGAACCTTCCTGAAACTTGGGAATAAAAAATGTTCTTAGGTCTTCACATTTGTAAATTTCATCTCCTATCAGTTCAAATGTTCCTTTTTATTATTTACTATTAATACAAGTTAACAATTTCAGGAAATAACCCCCAACACAAGAGTTAAGCTGAAAAGACCAAGTTGTTCTCATTTGAGATGAATTTTAGGTAGTTAAAAATCACCTATATTCTAAAGTGGTCTGATGAAATCTTCCAGGTTCTTTGGTTCTGTCCTCAACCCCTCCCTATTTTCTTTCTCTTTAAGGATATTTTCTGACATCCTGAGTGTTGTGCACTAATAACTAAGAAAACATAAGCAGCTACATTAGACCTCAATTTCCTCTTACACACAACTAAGATCCATCAAAAAAACCCCAACTGCACAGCAAAACAACAGTAACAAAAAAACCAACAACCAAAATCCTGTCCTCTGTAAGCTTAAAATAGAGAACAAAATCCATACAACACATAAAGGTTTTCTTTTCTTAGTTTCCTTCCAAAAATAATGAACATTTTGTACAGTATCCAGTATTTCATAAAGCACTTTCGCAATCATTAATTTGCTCCTGTCTTCCTAAGAATACACATTTAGAATTTTTGGACTTGAGGGAAAAGAGGGAGACTGCTAGTCCGTTAACTCAGTATGTCATTACTTGTTTCACAAAAGTCCCCTAACTGGCCTTGCCAGCAGTCCCCTGGCAGCCAGAACTGAGCCAACCTGTCCTCTCCTATTAGCTAATCCTGTCAAACCAGGCTGGCCGTGCAGCAGCCCCACCTTTGCAGCCTCCTGTACCTTACTCCCTTTTACCGACTGCTCAAAGGCATGCAGCTCAAAGTTCCTGTGTGTGGTGTCTGCCTTTGTTAACATATGAACATAAAATATCTATCTTGTCATCATGTGTTGAAAACACAGCGTAACCTCTGAAGCCTAGCTCACATGTCAAGTCCTGAAAGAGGCCTTCCCTAAATCCCCCCGCCGGAGATCATCCGGGTCACACACCACATCACAGTGCCATGTATTACCAACACCGCCCTACTGTGCAAGACCAGAGGAGAAGAAACCTAATCCTGTGCCCATCTACAGCCCCAGGTTACGCTAACAGGCTGTCTCACAGGGTAGGTCCTCAGAAAATACCCATTGAATGAATAAATGATAAATGGAAAATGATTTGGACCATTTGAAATGAAAGATTCAGCTAAAAAGATGACTGACTTCAAAATTCTAATTGGGGCCGATTTAATTTTGTTTTTAAACTTTCTTGGCTTACTTTTTACTTAAAATTTTTTACTTCATTTACAGCAATTTAAAATGGAAATATTTCCTATTTTAATAATATAGAATCTCAAATATACATAAAAGTTCAGAGAATCCTATGATGAGCCTATCAACCCAGCTTCAATAGTTATCAGCCCATCAAAGCAGACTCATATAACCAGGAGGAAATGCAGGTTAATTTGGGCCCCAAAAGACATAGCCAGGTGACCTGCCCAATGTCACAGAGCTGCTCAGTGACCCACAGGAACACAAAAACCTACATACCCCAACCCCAAACACAATGTTCACCTCCCTAAATTAGGACCCCTAAGAGACATGAGAAGCTATGGTGATAGGACTGAAAGGGAGCCTTCCCTCAATTAATGTTTGATTTAAAAATGCATGAGAAATATTTTAGATAGAAACCTTACTTTTGTGATACGTAACAGCAAGATAGCAGCAGGCTTGTATATCACAAAAATATCTCCACCCTGTTTATATTTGCCTCCAGCTGAACAGTACCTACCACACGTAAATTTCGTGTGATTAGGCTACCTTCCTTCAGTCCTTGCTATGGTTTTTTACAGTGTTCCTCCACCTACACGGCAGCCCTTTCCTCAGAGCATCAGGGCTCCACTGTCTTCTGGGAGCCACCCCCTTTCAGAAGGAGGAAAGCCTCTCAGAATGGGGAAAGATCTGATGGTGGTAGGGAGGCCCTCTGTATCTTTTCAGTGGGGAACAAAAGGACTGAATGCAACAGAGGCTCATATACTCAGTCCAACATCAACTTTGCTAGACAACCTTTGTATCCTAGATGCCTAGTATCAGCACCTGCGGAGGTGAGAGAAGCCTCAGGTCCATCAGCATCAGATTTTCATCTCCAGAGACTGGCACCCCCTACTCCTCCCCCTCACTTCCTTCCGAGTCTGATCAAGGTTCGGGCTCTCACTTACTCAGCGCAACATTAAACCAGAACTCCCTTCGTCTGCCCCAAGGCTTCAGATATATACAGCTGGATGTTTGGGGTTCATGATAACCTTCGTGCAATTTTTCCTATTGTGGCTCCCTATTGCATTCTGAGACAGATAATTGTGAGTTATGTGTAACTTCTACCTCTGATAATGCAGTTTCTGACTAAGGGGATCACTAGAATACGATCTTTGTTAAGAGAAGTATTAACTATGTGGTGAACATTCATTCAAGTAAGTATCTATCTACTGCTGCTCTAGATACAAACTAGAATCTAGAAAAATCACTAGGTGATAGCCATATGTTTTCTAATTTTATTTATTTATTTTTTAGAGAGAGGGGAAGGGAGGAGAAAGAAAGGGAGAGGGAAATCAATGAGAGAGAGAGAAACACTGATTGGCTGTCTCTTGCATGTACCCAGACAGGGGACTGAACCTGCCACTTAGGCATGTGCCTTGACCAGGAATTGAACCGTCAACCTTTTGCTTTGTGGGACAGTGCCCAACCCACTAAGCCACACCCGTCAGGGTGATAGCCATATGTTTTTAACTACATATGTCAATACTTGACCAAAGCTAAGAAAGCAAACAAATGCACTAAATGAACCATCTTAGTCTTTCCAAAAAGAAAAGAAAAAAGAAAAGAAAAAAAAGGATAAATTCTCTAGATTTTAACCAACAAATAAACTTCTGTCCACTCTAGGATTATTTAAGTCTTTTCGAGCAGAGGAAAAGCTAATTTATGGCAATAGTTGAGAACATAATTCTACTGAGGTTTGCATTAACTACCTTTGTTTTATGGATATTTCATGAGTCCATACATAATTCAACCCAACCCCACAAAACTCTTCCACAACTCATTAACAAATAAATAATTATCATCAGAAAGATCTTGTTGAGCATGATGCTTTATCAAACTGAAAAAAAAAAATGCATGTATTTATTAAGTTATTCAGTCTTCAGGTTTCTGAATAGAAAGCATTTGCAGTGGAAGCTTTTTATTACATAAGCCGCACTTCAGGTCCTTGTCAGGTAATTTAAATGTGTGCTGACAGGCCCTGCTGACAGCTCATAAAATTTCACAAAATTAGTTTGTAAATTCAAACAAAAGATATGGCAGCCTCAATTTTGGGAAGCTCACTTGTGTGATCGTGATGAAGATCAAGCTACCGTTTCTCAATGTAGAATTATAAAACTAATTGTGTTCAGTATCTTTAATATAAAACCCTTTAAAATCGCTATTTCTAGCACTCTAAAACACTTCACCCTGGCTGGTGTGCCTCAGTGGATTGAGCGCTGGCCTGTGAACTGGGGTGGGGGGGATGGGGGCGGGGCGGCTGTTCACTGTTTCCCAGTCACGGCACATGCCTGGGTTTGTTGGCTGGGTCCTCAGTGGGGGACACAGGAGAAGCGGCCACATGTTGGTGTTTCTCTTCCTCTCCTTCTCCTTCTGTTCCCCTGTCTCTGAAAATAAGCAAATAAGATCTTTTTTAAAGAAAACACTGTATTTTAAAAGTGGGTGTAGCATTACTTTTACAAAACAATTCAAGATTTTTTTTTGCAATTTGATTTTATATAATTTTATCTCAAAAGAAAAAACTATATAAAAATTAAATACTGAAGTATTTAAAAGGTAATTACTGATATTTGCAATTCACTTTGAAATACACTGAAAAATAAGATGGAACAACAGATGAAAATATAGACAGATATGTGATTACAAAAGTAGAGTAAAATGTTAATTGTAGACTCTAGGTGGTGGGTGTATAGATCCTCACTGCATAATTCTTTCAACTTTTCTGTATATTTGAACATTTTCATGATATAATATTGGAAAGAGAAATAGTTTAACATCCCTAAACTTGATGCTTACAGGAGCCTTTGTGCTCTTAAGATTAAGAACTAGTAGGAAATATAATAGCACAAAATGATGTAAGAAATATTATATGACATAGAATACAAAATTATTAATATAGTATTACGATAACCATGTAACACACATGTAGAAAAATAACAAAAAGAGCTATTCTAAAATATTAATAAAATTGTCCTAGGGTAGTAGGGTTATGAGTTATTTTCCCACCTCTATTTGTCTAACTTTCTGTGCCATAATTATATTTGTAATGTTTTCTATGCACATATAAATACAACACATATAGCCTTGGCTGGTGTGGCTGAGTGGACTGAGCGCTGGCCTGAGGATGGAAAGGTTGCCAGTTCAATTCTCAGTCAGGGCACATGCCTGGGTTGTGGGCGAGGTCCCCAGTTAGGGGGGTTCGAAAGACAACCGACAGATGTTTCTCTCACACATCAGTGTTTTCCTCTCCCTCTTTCTCCCTCCTTTCCCTCTCTAAAAATAAATACATAAGTATTCTTAAAAATATATACATATGTATACTGAAGAATGGTTTTGTGCCCTGACTGGTATGGCTCAGTTGGTTGAGCATTGTCCCGCAAAGCAAAGAGTGGCTGGTTTGATTCCCAGTCAGGGAACATGCATGGATTTGTGGGCCAGGTCCCCAGTTAGGGCATGCACAGGGGGCAGCTAGCTGCTTGATGTTTTTCTCTCACATTGATGTTTCTCTCCCTCTCTTTCTCTCTCCCTTCCCCTCTCTCTAAAAATAAATAAATAAAATCTTTGAAAAAGTTATTTTTTCAAGTATAAAAAAAGGGGGGGGGGACTGGAGTACCTAACTTTAAGAAAATAAAATATATTTTGTTAAAAAAAAAAAAAGGACTTTGGGTTTACCTAATTCCCTGTCACATCCTCGCCTTGGATTTTATTTTCTTGTTTTTGATTCAAATACAGATATATGAGTCAACTGGGAACATAAATGCCCCAGATCAACAACATGGTGCATCACTTTTTATTCACGTACTGGTAATGTATTCAAGTAATGAACAGACTTAGCTGACATAGCAAACTGCAGTGCCTTATTATTCTTAGGATTCATACACAGAGGTAATATTCATAATGCAAGAAAGCACATAAACCACTTTAGAATATAATGTATAACGACAGTGGTCTATTTTGTTAGAGAATCATTATGAGCTAAATCAAGTGTCTTATACATGGGCCTCTTTCTTGACTCTAGCCTAATTTCCTCTACCTAGGAGATTCCAGTAGGTTGAGTGCTAGTCATCTTGAGATGGCAGCAAGAACCATGTTAAGTCACCAGCCTCCTTGAGTCACAAGGGGCCACGTGGGTTTGAGACCAAGGCACTGACTTAAACAAGTCGCTTCATGTCTCAGAGCCTCATTCTCTTGCTCTATAAAAGCTGGAACTGCTGAGGTCTCTCTCAGGGCAAAAATTCTCAGACTTTCAGGCAACAAGGAAAACAGGCTCCGAGAAACTGAGCAGGGAATAGGTCTCCTTGAACTCTACCCCGCCTATCCCTGGACACAGAATATCTGGCAGCATAATAACATGCATACTCATGAGGAAAACAGCTCCATAGAGTGCTCTGCCGCAAAAGTACCTTGAGATATGACATGGAAACAAGCAGATGTGATGCCACCCCGTATGACTGATCATGAGATTCATCCGGATTACAGGGCTTTTTTGAAAAAATCTAGGCTATCCCTCCCCCTTGACAGACTCTAGACACACTATTCATTTTATTTTTCATTTCATTTCAAAGATTTGAGTAAAGATGGCAGAAACATTTATTAAATAGCATTAAGAAAAAAACAAAGATAATACCTGGATATATTTACTGTTTTCTTCTCATCTACTTTAATTATAAGTGATTTCTTTCTAAGACTAGTGGATGAAGGTTTCATATCAGAAGCTTTACTTTCATCAAGGTGGTTACTGGAGGAGTTGCTCTCTTTCCTGTCATCCCTTTCTTTCTTTCTTTCCATCTTCTGTTTGTCGTTAGAGGTTCTGAAATCAACACTTTTATCTGAATGAGCAGAGGCAATGGAGTGTTTCTTAGATGATTTTGAAGGACTTTTATCTTTCCCATCTTCAGTCTCTCTCTGTCTTCCAGCACGTGAGCAACTGGACTTTCCATTGTCATTCTGAGGAGTGCTCTTTCTATCTTCCTCCTTAGAGTATTTCTGAGTTTTTCCATCAGACAAGTCCTGGTCCCCATCTGAGGTCTTGCGGCGTTTGTGGCGAGAGTCGCTGGATGCCCTGGTTGATGAACTGGTCTCCGAGGGTCTCTTCTGAGCATGTCGATGAGCTTGGTACTTAGGGCTGCGCTGAGCTCTCTTCTCTTGGTGAGGCGAAGGGGGATGCCTCGGCTTGCTCTGAGGGTTTCTGGACGGCTCTCTGTTGTCATGCCTCTCCACGCCTGTGTGTCTTGTTGATGTGTGTCCATGTCTTCTGTAATCACGATCCTCAGTATGCCTGTGGTGACATAAAACAGTTTATACTTGCACTACAGAGAATAAAGTGAGAACTTATATGTGTGGAATGTTGGGTAGCATGGCTTTAAATGCAGAATGCAGTGGGCAAAGTTAACCTATAATCCTTCAAGCCAACTCATAGAGGTTCATTAGAGAGGAAATGCCATCTTATTTTTAAATATGCAAGTAACTTCAACATAATTTACTCTAAAATAAATACTTCACTCCTACCAGTTGAACTAACTACATTATAATGCTTTTTATCTTTTCAGAAAAAAGCTTTTCAAGGTGGTTATCTTCAACTATAAAGTAAACACACTTTTTCACTTGAGGCTTTATATCAGATTACCCAGGTTTAATGTTTTCTTATACCTCTTCTTAAAAGAGCTCCTTTTCTCAACATCTTCAGAGCGTCTTCTAAGAGAGCGAGAATATTTTTCATCTCGTGTCTTCTGGGACCTCAGCTCATCTTCACGCTGCTTTCGTTCAAATCTAGAAGAATCTTCTGTTGACCTCTGAGGTGATTTTCCTCTTTTTCCACTTCTTCTACCTCTGTGGTCATAAGGAATAGACCTTCCTCGCACGTGCTGAGGATAATAATCCCACTGATACTCTGGGTAGTATCCACCTTCTGAGTATCTGGACGTATACCTGTTACCATCCTCTCTTCCTGGTGAATATGCTTGGTAAGGCTTATAAGAATAAAATTTGTCTGAAGAGCTTCTTGTGTTTGGAGAAGATGATCTACGTTTATGATATCGGTAATACGTATTTTCACGAGAAGAATTCCTTGATCTCCTCTGTCCATTCTTGTGCATTCTCCAAGTGGTGGATCTGTTCAGATCCTTCCTATGGTCAAGGCCATGATACCCATGAGAACTTCTTTGCTTGTAGTGTTCAGACTTTCTAGGTGCTGGTGATGAAGGCCTATAAACAAACACAGACAAGTTTAGTTCATTTAAAAACAATAAAGTACTCACTGAAACAGAGAACGGGCTGACAGTGACCAGAGGGGAGAGGGGAGGGAATTTCAGGGGAAAAGGGGAAGGGTTTGCAGGAACCAGTACAAAGGACACATGGACAAAAACAAGGTGGGGGTGGAAATGGGAGGGAGGTGGGGAGGGAGGTGGGAAGGCTGGGGGGTGGGCCGGGATGGGAGTAAAAGGCAGAAAATTGTACTTGAACAACAATTAAAAATTTAAAAAAATACTCAAAAATTAAAAAAAGAAAAAAAAAACCAATAAATTACTTGTCTTAACATGACTTACCCAAATAAAAGATTTGTTTTCTACTGTTCCTTCCACTCAAATTAAATTCATCAATTTGCTATATCCACATTTTAAACTGTCCATGTGGGGCTCTGATTATGCTTGTTCCCATTCAACAAGCACTCTCTTTCCATCTGAACTAATGTATCCGCTGTTCAAAAGGGCTGAGAACTCCCATCCTGCTGGGAGGAGGACCAGCTTAGGCAGAGAGCAAACTCCATTTTGGAATATTACTGACGGCAAAGTTCTGGCAAAAGGACTGGTTAGCAAGAGCTTACATCAGGTTCAATGGTTAGGTAAAAAAAGGCAGAAGGGCAATGAATCGACGCTTCTCTCTTGCATTGATGTTTCTCTCTTTCCTTTCCTCTCTCTCTCTCTAAAAGCAATGGAAAAAAACTGTCCTTGGGTGAAGATTAAAAAAAGAAGGAAAGGAAAAAGGCAGAAGGAGGGCTGAATTCATACTAATAAATATGTAGGAGAATGTCTGGCCAACTGAACATAACCTCTGAAATTAAAATAGATTCTAAGAGTTTAAGGCCACAAAAACCCAAACTCAGTTCCAAAACTGACCCCAGTTTTTCCAACCGTCTGTTCTCTCTACTAAGGCTGTATCAAGGTACAAAAAATTCATCTTTCAATGGTGTGTGGAGGGTTGAGGGGGGGGAGAAGAGAGTCTTAAGACTTGAACCTCATGCTTAGTTCCTCCATAAATATTATCAACATAGGTAAGTTGCCCTTCTCTCCCAGACCTACTATATTTTTCAGACTATAAGACATGCCCCCGCAAATTTGGGAGGAAAGGGGTGCGTCTTATAGCCCGAATGTAGCTTACCTGGCTCGCAGGGGGGCGGGGCGGCATCACAGGTTATTAAATATTTTACCACATTTTTTGCTTTGAAATTTACCCCCCTATTTTCCTCCTCTAAAACCTAGGTGTATCTTATGGTTCAGTGCATCTTATAGTCCTAAATATATCGTATTCTCTTACATATGAAATGAAAGATGTGTAACTTTGGTGAATGTGAGTGTTTACGCTGCTAAAATCCTCTCCAGGGACAGCACATCCTTTCTGTAGCTGCCTTCTCTAACGCCTCAGCACTGTCAACATCCAGGCTTTCACTCTCACTGAGGAGGAAGACTTCTGTATCCAGAGAAAGCAGTGGGTCCCAGTTACTTAGACTTCAGGATAAGAGAGAGGAGCCCTACAATCTGGAGCACAATGAAGTTCCATTTTGCCCCTGGAGACATTTTCTCCCATCTGACCTGTCCAATCTCCCCATCTCCTTCCTGAGGGTTTAATGTCTTCTAGTCAATGAAGCTGCTTGCTGCCCTTGCAGCTTTGTTATCACCCCCTCTTCAGAAGCTGCCTCAGAGTTAGAACCATGAGTAAAAACTCTTTTCCATTTGGTGACCTGCCTGTGTGCTCCCTGCAGGAAAGTAGGCAGACTCAGCTTCCCCACATGATATTGGGATTTACATACTGGACTTGGCAATATGTCCCGGTAAAATCACCAAGCTAGATTGGTACTGGCAAGTGTGTTATTTAGCCGAAGCTGAAGCTCTGTCATCCAGCTGGCTGCACCTCATCATTGCAGCAAAAAGCAACTGGAGCCTCTGAGGACTTTCTGGAAGGTTTAACTTCTTCCACTGCTAGCAGCCAGAGGCAGAGGTTTTCCAGACTGGACCAAATATTTAATCTCTTACTTTAGTCCATACCTCATTTTGAATACACTTTGATATGATATTTCACTTCACAGTTTTATTGTATAGAACCCCTTTCTTCTGAAGGGGACTGCTGGAATGCTTGCTATCATTTTTGGTTCTCCTAAAGGAAAAAAGAGACCCAAGGAGTCTTGGGAGACAATTTTCCGTGGGTCCCTCCATTCAGCACACGTTGTGAGCAAAGGCACTGACAGCTTTCATTCCAAGGCAAACAGCCTGGGAAGAGGGAGCTAGGGCCTCCCCCAGGGGCAGAGGGCCTATTTGTTTGACATACAGGATAATAAGATCATGTCTTCTCCAATGCGAAAGCCCCTCGTGGGACTTGGGTTCCTCAGCTGTGTCATCACCCCAGCACTAAGTCTGACAGGTTCTTTTGTGCCCCCACACCAGGGCCTACCACAAAAGGGTGACACAAAATGGCCTCTGTGATGCCCTCCATGTTAAAAACATTTGCTTCTTTATATTCTCCTTTTTTTTTTTACAGCTCCTCCCCATTACAATTCAGTCCTATAAACTCCAAATTAAAATTGTTGAAGAAATGATTGATTAGTCATTGTAGAACCATAATGAAAACAAGCACAATGGCCAAGTCATATTAACAGGAAAAGTCTTGGTCTGCCTTGTGTGTGTAATTATTGTCCTTTTTAGGAGTCCCAACTCTGTGCCTTTGCTCCTGTTGTCCCCCTTAACTGGAATACTTTCTCTTTTTTTAATCTTCACCCCAAGATATATTTACTGATTTCAGGGGGAGGGGGGAGAGAGGATGGGGGAGGAGGGAGGGGGGAGAGGGAGGGAGGGGGAGAGAGAGAGAGAAGGAGAGAGAGAAACCAACATCAGCTGCCTCCCATACTCGGCCCTGCCAGGGATGGAAGGATGGAACCCGCAACACCTTTGGGTGTATGGGACAACGCTCCAATCAAGGGAGCCAACCGGCCAAGGCTAACTAGAATACTTTTCTTCTCTCTTTCTGCCTTTAGAAGTTCTACTCATCCTTAAATGGACAACTAAAATCTCATCTCTTTTTTAGACTTTCTTAGTATAGCCCCCTTTTCCCTCCACAAAAGCAGAATTACTCCCTGCCTGTGGATCCACAACACTTTGTCTCAATGAGTTGTACCACACTTTTCCCACCTGTGATGGTGTCAATTTCTCCAGCCAGCCTGTGTGCTTGCTGAGGGCTCTTAAGGTTTTGTATTTGCCTTTGTAGCCCTAGAACTTGCCAGCAAAAGATATACAATAAGTACTAGTTGAATTCTTGCAATCTAATTATATATACATGCTTCATACTACCAACTTGGAAAAAAGTGAGTTGAACTACAATTGAGCTACGTAAAACTCTATATTATTCTGCCATGAAGAAATAGGAAGCTCCCAATCTTCTAACTCCCAATTTCTTCAAACATTGATTATCAAAAAATAAAATAAAATGCACCCTCAAAAGTTCTAAACCACTTACTGTTACAAAAACATGGAACACTTTCAAAGATGTTTTTCACTTTCCCTGGCTGTGGCCACTGTGTTTCTTTTTATTATGGATTAATTCTAGCTGCGGGCTGTAATTAAAGAAAGCTGTCAACTCCTAGAAATACAACCTCTAAGACTGTAAAGCACCTACTGTGAATAACCACATCCTGTGAGCTCATTAAAATAAATTCTTAATGATGTAACAGAGTGCAGCAAGGGGAGACCCCAAATAGGGATTTGTAATGGGGTCCAGAACTCAGGGTGTCCAGGAAATATTTTTAAAAATGTAGGATGTTCTCTCCCCCACAAGCCTGAACTGGGAGATGTGACGCATGCAGCAGGGCCATTGAGAGTTGTTCTGCATAGCAACAGTTTTGCAAATAACCTCAGGTATGGTCATTTAACATACCTATAAGTTTTAACTGATTTCACTGATACCTTAAATAGCTGTGGTCGAGCTTTGAGCCAGGGAGATGGGAGTGACTTACACCCAGATATAACTGGGAGGCAACTCCCCTGGTTACAGTGGCCTGCATGTGAGCTTGGAGATGATTCGCTCCAGGCCATGGGGCCATACCTGCCTGGACTTACTATGGCAGCCCAGAAAAGCTGGAGAAATATGGGAATGCTGGCAGTTGTAGCCTATTGTGGGAGGAGTCAGAAACAGGGGGGAGTCGGAAATTGGGCCGCAGAGGAAGATTGGTACCAGGATTTAAATCCAGCCTGGCTGCCATGCTAGGAGGGGCCCATGCGGCTTTAGAGAAAAAAAGGACGGACCACGCGGTTTTTGGTGAGAAAGGGAGAGCTACGCGGCTTTGAGGCTCCCTTTGCCATGCAGCTTAGGAATCTGGAAAGCAAGATGTAGCAGTGATATAGAACTCTCTCTTAGCAGTATGGAAGAATGCAGGAGAGATGCTGCGGGAAGGAAAGGGGTGAAAGGACTCTTGCTGGTAGGCCATGAGAAGGTGCCACACAGATTTGGATTAAGAACTGGAGATCGTGGTGGTGACACAGCTGATGGTGCTAGGAACCGAGGCAGGCCTGCCAGCTGAGCATGGATTACTGGGAAGAACCGGGGGCGACCTGAGCCACGGACCTCTATTTCTTTTCCTGAGATATGGTACCCCTGACTGGGCAAAGCGGGAAGGAAGGACTGTGTGTTTTGGGGTATTTTAAGGAACTTTGGGATGTTAATGAAGACATTAAGTCATTACTCTAAGTCTGTATAACCTTTGAATAAAGAATTCCTTTCCTTTTCACCAATCTCTGACATCGAGAGCTGTAATTCCCTGGCAACAGGCAGGCCAAACCTAGTACAGGGAGACCCTGGGAGAAGAGGAGGTCCATTCAATAACAGTATATTGCCCCCCTTCCCAGTCTCTTCTATAACAAGGATACTAGTGAACTGAAAGCAAAGTACATCTCAAATCCAAGCTCGCCCTGCTAAACTAAGAACTGCTCACCTCTGTTTCTTCTTGGGAGATGATTTGGAGCGTGACCTCGCCATCTTTTCTTGTCATGCAAGTCACTATCCACTTTTTACACTGCAAAGAAACACAGTGTTAGCAAGTTTATAGAAAGAGCCTGCGATCTGCTCTAAAAACAGTGAATGCCATGGGCCAAAACATTACTTAGGCCTACTACGCCTCAGTTTCCTCATCTGAAAAATGAAGATGATAATAATAGGACCCACTTTAGTGCAATGCTCTGAGGATAAAATTATTAAATCAGGGGTGAGCAAACATTTTCTACAGAGGGCCAGAGAGTCACTATTTTAGGCTTTGCGGGCCAAATGCAGTCTCTATGCATCTTCTTTTTTAAACAATCCTTTAAAAATATAAAAACCATTCTTAACTCAAGTTCCTCCCCTCCAACACACAGACAGGCCCCAAATACCAAATGCAGTACAGTTTGATGATTCCTGAGTTGACTCATGAAAAGAACTTAGAAGAACACCTGGCATACAGCAACTGCCAAGTGAGTGTTCCAAAAGAGGAAAAAATTACCCAGAATTCTTCTAAGTACAACCACTACTACCCTCCTGTCTTTTGCCATGTACACAGACAATTCACGTAATCAGTCAAAATGTTTAAGAATATCTGACGGTATTCTCCTGCTTTTTAAATTGTGAAATAATAAGAATTACAATGCCCAATTATAGTACTCGACTACCTACCTAACTTTCACTGGATAAATATATCAAAACATAATTAACCATGATTAAACATTTAGCTTACTTCTGATTTTTCCTAAAATAAAGCCAAATAAGTACATTTTAAAAGACAGACTTGACTTCTTTAAAGGTATACTTCAATCTTTAAAAGGAACTGATGGCTTCAGGAACTGAATTTTAAAAATTCCGGAGTGTTGGTGAGGATGTGGAACCACAGGGACTCTCATATACTGCTATGTACACATATACATAAGCATAACCAATTTGGAAGGGGCTGAGAGCACCTGGTAAAGTTGAGCACGCTCATATTCCACAGTCCAGCAATTCCACTCAGAGACATACCTTAGAGCAATGGTTCTTAAACTTCAGTGTGTGTCAGAATCACCTGAAAGGCTCACTGCTGGGCCTTACCCCAGGGCTGGGCCCCACCTCTAGCATGTTCCCAGGCAATGCAGGTGCCCATGTGCTAGTCTTGGAACTGTAGAACTACTGATTTAAAGTGGAAAGGTGAAAGTCACGGGAGAAAATATTTACAAGTGAGATTTACTGACTACATGATAAAAAGAAGTGTTAGGATATATTCCTTTGCTAATATTAAAATTAGCTTTATTGAAATTCAAACTATTTACTCAGAATGGGTGAATCTTATTGCATACAAATTATACCTCAAAGCTGCAAAAAAAAAAAAGGCAACCTTTGGGTGATACAAATGCTCTAAAGATTAGGTCAGAGAAGTAAAGATGGAACTGCCTTCCCATTCTTGCGTGGGCCCTCATCAATCTGGCTTTCTACTCCACCACTGCATCAAACTGCTCTAGTCAAAGTCACTAAAGAAATCCATGTTGCTACATCCAATGGTTATGGCCCCTCCTCCTTCTCCTGGACCTACAAAGACAGGATAGTAACAAGCTAGAAAAATTCCTTAGCAAGTGAAATAGGGAAACAGATAGGTAGATGGGTTGAACACAATGGTTTAGCAATTTACAAGCCCAGCAATTGACAGCCAGGTGCAGATGTTAACCAGGGCGGAAGGCCCCTAGCGCCTGGCAGGGGGCAAAACTGGGAAAACAAGACTTACCCCCAGGGAAACCTCTCCTCCCCAGGCTTTCTTCCTGGAGATAACATTGAGGTCTCAGAAAAGTAGCAAAACCAGGTGGGTAACACCAGAACCAACTGCAATGATGAGAGATTCCTTCCTTGTCACTGACCACCTGCCTCGGTGGAAACCATGACCCCGAAAGGGCATACCTGGAAATCTGACGGAACATTCTGCTGAAACCCTCCCAGTCCTCCCCTAAGATTCCTGTCTGCAAGAGAGAGATAAAAGCCTCAAGACAAAGAATCCAGGCAGGCTATAAACATGTCCAAGAACAAACTCCTGACTTCCCTCCAAAACCTGCCCCTCCGACAGCCTGCCTCACCTCAGTAAATAGCAGCTATATCCTTTGAGTTTTCAACAGACAGGAAACATAAATGTCCAATAAATATAGAAAAAGATAACCAACCCTACCTAATCAGGAAAGTAAAATTAAAACAAGATACCATTTCATACTTAGGAGATATACAAAAATTTTAAAGTTTGATATCCCTGTGTGTTTATGAGAAAGTGGAAAAGGAGTTTCTCACCTGAGGAAAATTCCTTCCCCCAAAACCCTGAAGCAGAAAGAAAGTCTAACTAAATCTGTAGTCCAAACACAATACATATAAGCTGCAGCACCTAAGGATATTTAAAAACAACAAAAAACCTCACCTTAAATCAGAAATTTTAAAACTTCTTTAGAAAACAAAAATCAGTTCTCTCAGAAGTGAAAAATAACAAGGTACCCAAAACAGAATAAACCCAAATGATAATTTAATAAGGTACACTGAAGAAAGTCATGAAAACAACCAAGAAAATGAAAATGATTTTACAGAAGATGGAGAGTAAGTGGGGGAGACAGAAGACATAAAGAAGGAATAATATTTGTATTATTATAGTCCCAGAGCAGAAAAACTAACAATAAAACTGAACTAATATTAAAAACTGTGATTTAAGAAAACTTTCCAGAAATTAAGACCTGAATCTACATACTGAAGGGCTCACCAGATACTTGGGAAAATTACCCCTAAACAATCAATTCTGAAATATAGTTTAGTAAAAACTATTTGATTTCAAAGTTAAAGTCCCCCAGAACTTTAAGTAACAAGAATAAATAATTTACAAATCCCCCCAAAATTAGACTAGCATCAGATATTTTAAAACCAACCACAAAGTATAAGGCAACAAAGGATCAGCATTTAAAATTTAAAAAATAAAATAAAATCAATAAAAGTAGATGTGAACCAAGGATTTTATATCCATCAAGTTGTCCCTCAAACATCAAGGCTACAGAAAGAAAAGCTTTCAACATATAAGAACATAGAGAATTTCTGCATTTACTAGCCCTTCTGAGGAATCTACTACAGGATGAGCTTCATTCAACCAAATGATGACCCAACTTTGCTGAGAAAACATCGGCAAAGTTGACAGTGAGCATTTTAACATAATGGAAGTGTACATATAAGACATTCAAAGAAAGATGGAGATGAGGGTGGAAGACTAATGTAAAATTATTGCATATTGTGACAGAGTAGAAAAGTTACTTACAACTAAAAAAATGGGAGAAGAGACAGCTAAAGAGAATAGTGAAAGCTCAAATTGTTGTGTAGGTAATAGCTGGGTTTAAACATACTGAGGGGAAAACATAATAAATCAGATATTGAGAGGTTAAACAAATCAACACACACTGCAGGGACACCTGGATATCCTCAAGCAAAAGAATTAAGTTCCCCCTTTCCCCACACCATATGCAAAAAATAACTTAAAATGGACTAAAACCCAAGTTTAGATCTTTAGGTCTTTGGTCCCAAATTTAGGACCAAATTTAAGAACTAAAATTATAAAACTTAGAGGGAAACATAAGGATAAATAATCCTTGTAACCTTGGATCAGACAGTGGTTTCTTAGATATGACATCAAAAACAGTAACAAAAATAGATAAACTAGGCTTCATAATTAAAAGCAATTACACTATAAAAGATGCTATCAAAAAAGTAAAGAGAGGGAGAGCAGGGTGGGTGGGGTGGAATGGGAGTAAAAGATAGAAAATTGTACTGCAACAATGATTAAAATAAAATAAAATAAAATAAAATAAAATAAAATAAAGTAAAAAGACAACCCATAGAATGGATGAAAATTTTGTGCAAGTCATATCTGATGAGGGATTGTATCTAGAATATATAAAAAACCCTTACAATCCAATAATAAAAGACAAATAACCCAATTAAAAATGGGCAAAGGAGCTGAAAAGACATTTCTCCATAGAAGATACACAAACACCCAATAAGCGCATGAAAAAATGCTCAACATCACTAATCATTAGGAGAATGCAAATCAAAATCACAATGACATACCACTTCACATCAAGCAGGATGGCTAAATTCAAATAGTAAGTACTGAAAGGATATAGAGGTAAGAGAACCCTTATACTGCTGGTGGTAATGTAAAATGATGCAGCCACTTTGAAAACAATCTGGCAGTTCCTGAAGAAATTAAACAGAGTTACCATATGCAACAGCGTACAAGGCAGATGTTTCCAAAAAGATGGGAGGGGTGGCAATCCTGGGAAAAGGCAAGGCAGAATTAAAGCCCCAAAGCATTCGTACAAAGACAGACGCTTTTTTTTTTTTTAGATTTTATTTATTTATTTTTTTAGAGAGGGAAGGGAGGGAGAAAGAGAGGGAGAGAGAAACATCAATGTGCAGTTGCTGGGGGTCATGGCCTGCAACCCAGGCATGTACCCTGGCTGGGAATCGAACCTGCGACACTGTTTCGCAGCCTGCGCTCAATCCACTGAGCTACGCCAGCCAGGGCTGCCAGACGCTTTTTAATGCTTAAAGCCACAATTCAAGATGAAGACAGAATAAATTAAAATATACATATTCACATGAATGTGACATAGCAACCACCTTTATAAAACAAAAACTACAAGAAATGGAAGAAGACACAGAGAGAAACACACTAATAACAGCATACTTTAATATAGCATTCTCAGTGATATATTAGGAGAACCAAAAAGATTTAAACAGTGTAATCAATGGGGTAAATCTTAAGGATATTGAGCAAACTCTACACTCCAATACTAGAGAATACACATTCTTCTAAAGTGCCCACACTACATTCACCAAAAATAGCCATATAGTAGGTCACAAAGAAAACATCAGTAACCTCCATAAACTAGAAATATTACAAATAATACTCTCTAATCATAATGCAATAAAACTGGAATTTACTAACAAAAAAAAAACAGGCCCTTTTCCACCTACAAATTAAAAAATTTCCTATTAAGCCAT